TTTGTTGCCACTGTAGAATTGGTGCACATAATACACAAAAATTCTCACCTAAAAATAACGCGTAGGTGTCACTTTCATGTGAGTGTTTATGTACATGTAGAATTGCTCCTATCAAAAATCTTTCACTGAACGAGTTAAGAAATTTCATTTTGTGTTATTCTTATTGGTTAGTTTTCTACCCTAGCAATGTGGTGCCAAACTCCGTCGAATGTCTGCTGCACTGGTGGGATGGAATATGGCTTAACAAAGCAGATGGGAATATTGTTTATTAGATTTTTTGGAGCTTTTTGGTCAATTTGGAAGTGTAGAAATGATTGTGTATTCAATGGTGCTCAACCAAAAATAGGAGAGTTGCAGGAATTAATCATCCTCAGAGTTGCTATTTGGCTCAAGGCTTCATTCAAAGACCTCAATTTCTCTGTTACTGATTTTCTGTTCAACATTTATCAGATTAGGAAATGTATTGGTGGAAGGGTGTGAATTTGTCCATTTGCTGTGATGAACTATACTGGTGCTGCTGTGATGCTAAAGGGTGTGTTTGCACTAGTGCAACTAGTCCATCGTAGCGTTGCTGTGATGTTATGATGCTGGTTTGTGAGCAATGGCATTTTGCTGTGCAGTAATGGGAGCTTCAATTAAGTCTGCTGTTGATGGGTGCTCTGCTTGGCCACTATAGCATCTTGAACTGGAGATGTAGTGTTGTTGTGATGCTGTGATGCTGGTCTATGAGTAGTGGCATTTTGCTGGGCAGTGATGCTGTGTTCTGATGTTGTGTACTGGTGTTACTGGAATTATCTGCAGCAGATTTTGCTGTGAAGTCATATGGTTCTTGGTGCTGATATTTGCTTTCAACAGTCTAGCAGCCCATTCCTTTTTGCTAATTGATTGTTACGATTAGAAATGGGAAGGCTGAATTGTTGTTATGATCAGAAATGGGAAGGCTGATTGGTTGTTCTGTTTCTGTGATCATCTACACAATTAAAAGGAATAATGCAAAAACCCACAAAACATAAATAAGACTAGAATTATAGTTTTTTTATTTGAAGGGGACACAACAGAAAGTACCTAAAAAGATAACTTCAATTTTAACAATAAATGACACATCAAACACAAAAGCAGTAGTAGAGTGGACTAACACAATTGAAGATTTTGGATTGCATGACTGATTTGATCCAGTAGTAGAGTGTACTAACTCAGTTGAGAGAGGTGAGAGGACTAGGATTTATAGTAGCAAAGTCTAGCAAGTCCTTGTTACATTCAAAAAATGCCATGTCTTCTTCAATCAAGGTAACCCAAGGTTCAATCCCCTCACCATCTCTTGAAGGACTCAACAAAACAACATTAGGCACTTCTATATGACCAATCGTCCCCCAAGTTGGCTTTCCCCACCCAAAATCAGCTTCATACAATGGCATCCTACTCCAACTTGTATGTGTATACATATCCACTTCACCTCCTCTGATCCGCAACTTTCCCAACGCCATCAACAACCCACAAATCTCCGACACTCCACAATTTTTGCTTAGTTCCAGCTTACTTTCCCTTATGCTACTTGCCAAGTTTGACGAGTTCATTTCGTTCTCACTCTCATCATCGGCGTGCACTACTACTGGGCGTCCTATGTTTCCAAGCGAACTCTCTGGTAATGGCGGCACAAGACTTTCTCGCATATCTGTTGATATGACTAATATAGATGGCCTCCTTGGATTGGTTGATCCCAATCCCAATCCCAATCTTGATCTAGAAGCGTCCATAGCGCATTTCCAAAGGAGTGCCATGACAGCCTCCACGCGGGTAGGTTGTTGTACCCTTGCGTTGGCTGCTTCCGCCTTGAGAGCGTGAAGTTTAGAGGCGTTGAAGACGTACCTGATGAGAAAATAAACTTGTTTTTAGTAATTTGGGAGTCATGTTTACCCAAAAAGTTACTTAGAATTTGCAATCAAATGCCAAGATGGATTGATAATTTGGTCCCTAGTAGTATGTTGATAAATCGTATTTTGTCCCTAGTAGTATGTTACAAAATAGTGGGTTTTAGTATTTAAAATGCCTTAAAATTAGAATGTCAAAATTGTTTTAAAACTTCATATATATATAGAGCTGCTATGTAAGAATGAGAATGAATGAATATATTCTTTATTCTTCAAATCTCTCTTTCAAATTATTTTGAGTATAGCCATTTCATTGTCAAAACAGTACCTCCTGACAGCAACCTTCTGTGGTGGTTTCTCATAAACTTGTGGTGGAAGGGTCTGGAAGTCATCTCTTGCTGGGAATATTATGAATCTGGACTCAAAACGTCAGGGAATCTGGACGCAGTGGCAGCCCTGGCCTTGAGGAATACGGTGAAGGAGGCTGCATCGGCAAGTTTTGTTAAATTCACCCCATGTGAAGGGGAAATTGTCTTGTGAACACACTTTGGTTGGTCAACAAGGAAGTAGGCTACCAACCATGTCAAAGAAAGAGGCTGCCGAAGTCAAGCATGGAGGCTACCCAAAGGCACTCCCACCTACTCCAAGGTGTATAAAATGGAATGGTGATGGTGAGTTGAAGACAGGGCAAATGGCAAAACACATTGCTGAGAGAAAGGCACAAAACAGAGAGAGCTAGTGAGAGCTATTTTCTGTTTGTCAGAGAGTGTGAGTGAGTGTGTTATATAGAGAGACAGTGAGTTGAGAGTGTGTAATCTCCTCCATTTGTTGATATATAACAACATCGCTCCCGTGGACGTAGGCCGGTTTGCCGAACCACGTTAAAACTCTTGTGTTTTTGCTTGTGAGTGTCCCCTGGTGTGCCCACGATCCGCAACAATTGGTATCAGAGCCCGGGTGGAGAAAAATCGAGTTTTTTCCGAAAGTGTCCAGATTTCGAAGTGGTCGAAATCCACTTTTGAGCATACCAGGAGGAAGGCCAGGAGGAGAGGAGTCCAAAACTTCAAACCACAGGCCAATCGAAGGTCTAACGCGCCGCCACGCGCCACCTGAATATCGCGAGTGAAGACCACTCGCACACACGCGCCCCACGCGCCGACGAAGGAAGAAGACGAGTGGGGGCGCGCGTGAAGCTGACGTCAGGCTGACGTCATCCTGAGCCGAGCCGAGCCGTCGAGCCGTTGACCGCGCCGCTGACCAGGCCGAGCCGCGCCGCCAGCCAAGCCGCGCCGCTTTTTAGATAGCTAACAATTAAGTCACTAATCACACAACTAATAAAGTTGGTCACTACAGAAATAACTCATAGAAGTAGTTTAACATACATGTGATATCTAGTCTCTGTCTTACATCTATCTCATTGTGTGAAAATCTTGTATACATTTATAGCATAACTGAGTATTCATTTAGGTTATTGATTCTAGTATCCATCAGTTAAAAAAAAAAAAAAAATTCCTTCAAAATAATTTTTGGTGTATCAAAATTATGTATTATTCAATGATAAATTATACCCTAATAAAAAATTTCTTGTAATTATTCATTTAGAATTCAATGTTTTTGTTAATTTTAATGAGTACATGGTGGGTTCTATTTTAAGGTTAGAAGAAAATCATTTTGGCATTGACAAAACTTTCATTTACTGTATTTATCTGTTACTTTATCTCTGTACAAAAATATACACATTTAATTTTTTTCACTATTTATATAATTTACACATTTTATAAAAATTAGTTTAGAGAATATTTTAAAACTTAAAGTATATTTATGAAAATTTTGGAATGTTTGTAGAGTTATAATTAATTTTTATTAAATTAGATAGTCTAGATATAATGATAATTTTTTTAGTTTAGAACTGTAGAACCGAATTATTATTTTTTCAATAATTTAATTCTAATTCGATTTCAAAAATTTTACCGACTGAATTGGTTACTAATACCGTAAAAATGAATTTAATTCTTGATTTATTTCAAGTCAATGAACACCCTTATGTGATGAGCCCCAATAAGATCATCTATGCCAAGAACAATTGGTGGATTCTATTTTAAGGGTAGAAGAAAAACATTTAGTCGAGGTGGTATCATATCAATTAATTGTCAACTCTAACAAGGGTTCATTATTAAGAATGCTTTTTATTGATTATAAAAAAATAAAATTACAAAAAAAAAAAAGAATCACCCAAAAAATAAAATACATCTGGAGTTTCTAATTTAAATTTTAATATTTTGATTTATTTTTAATTTAAACTATTGACTATTTCGTTGAGTAAAACAATAATTTTTTTTTTAGTCATTATGGACACTTATATTGAGGCCTCGTTTGGAAACAGGCTAATTTAGTAACTTTTTGGCTATTTGGCTAAAATATGAGCTAAAAAAAACTAGTATGTTTGAGATGACTTTTTAGTTTTTTACGAAAAGATGTGCAAAAAATAGAGAGAAAAGAGAATCTTTGACTTTTTTGTATGGGTTCTTGCCTTTTTAGTTTTTTTTAGTGACTTTTTGACTTTTTAGCTAAAAAAGTCATCACTTGCCAAACGAGGCCTGAGTTTAAGGACTAAAATATTTTTTGAATCATTTTAATTTAATGAAAATAGACATACGATTTAGATTGAAAATATAGTATAAGATTACGATTTAAATTGACAAAATTAATAATCCAAACTTTATTTTCTTGAAATTTGTTTATTTTTAGTCGATTGACGTTTTATGAAAAAATATGCAAACAAATAATAATGTGATATAATAACTTGTACTGCTTATTTAGGGTGTCGAACCATCCTAAGAGGGGGAGGGGGGAGGGGAACATGGGTTTTGTGGTCCATGATTTTTTTTTTCCACAAAAAAAAGAAAAAAAAATGTGTTTTAATATTATTTTATTTTATTTTTGAATTCGAAATATTTTTATTTGGATCATGTTATGGTACACACCCTTATGCAAGTTATGACATTTATGGTGTTGATTACCATACCACAGATGTCATAACTAAATCATTGCCAATCATAACTAAAAAAATGTTATAACTAAACACTACATGAGATATAAGAAAAAATATTTTAGATCATAACTAAAATAATATTATAACCAATATCACAATAACACTAAAATGAGTTATAACTAATATCAAAATAAATCATAATAAAAAATCACAAATATTATAATTAAGGTATATGGTACACACCCCCCAAAAAGAGATGTGTATAATAATTTTTTTTCTTATTAACGTCTTATTATGATAAAAATATGTTTCTAGAAAGGAGAAGAATTTGGACTGGAGGGTAGGGGTGTGAATTTGGACTGGAGGGTAGGGGTGTAAATTTGGCTTGACTCACTATCAGACCGTGCGGACTCTCGCCAAAATTCGGAGCAGACTAGGCCGGCCCACTTGTGCAAAATTGCGGCCCAAAGCCTAGAGGGTACTCAGACCTTGAGCAGGTTGGGCCTCGGGCCTGACCATTTTTTTATTTTTTATTTTTTATTAAAATTTTATTTTCTTTCCATAAAAAATGATGCTAGGCCTCGAGCTAAGTCTTGAGTGGGCCGATGGGCCGGGCTTTGGATTGGATTGGGCTTCGAAATAGACAGCTTAGTCTCAAGCCTAGGGTCTTGGGCTAGGCCTAGTTAGGTCAGGCCACACAGGGTCACGGGCAAGCTTCGGGTGGACCGTGAGCTAATGGGCCAAATTTACTATCACGACCTTAGCTCGCCCCTAGAGGTTCAAGCCATGACTGGCTAGTAATCCTGGATTACCTTCGGCTTCGGAGTCAAATCAATCATAATATAACAATGGGGCTTAGCAGAGATAAAAACATAAAATAATAACGAGCTATTAAGTAGTGCATACATGCTGAAATCGTAAGTAGTAAAAACCAACTTTAATTTCATAAAACTTATATACAATAGTCCAAAGTTAGGCTTCTCACCCCACATCATTCATACAAGTTGCAAAATTATCTAAAGAAACAAGAACAAAAGAAGACAAAAGTTGGGTTGACAATGCTTGACTCCTCTCGAGTCCAAGCTCGCCCCTTTATGGAGGCACTTTCCAAAAGGCTTTAAAAGGGTAGATGTCAAGGCGACTTTAAATGTGACATTCAGCTTGCTCACCTACATATATATAAGGGAGAGAGGTGAGGTGGAGCCTAGTGAGTAATATCAATATAAAGGTTTATATGAATGAAGTCCAACAATTATAATCATATCTCCCATTTTCAAAACAATATAACAATGCCAATAAGGAATTCCATAGAATTCAATCATTTCAACCCCTTTTTTGAAATAACAATTAACAATCAATCAATTTACGTGGTACATCAAATAGAGTTCAATAAACAATGCGACGAAGCCAATAGGACCATTAGGGTCAATCCAATGGGACCTCAACGGGTCAATCAATAATTCAATGTGGATCTTGAAGGTTTAACATCAAAGATCTTTGTGTTTCAATTAATCCAATGGGCCATGGTATTGTTTCCCTTGGGCAAGGGCCAATGGGTCATGGTATTGTTTCCCCCAAGTAAGGGCCACAGTATTGTTTCCCCCAAGCGAGGGCCTATTAATCAATGGACCATGGTATTGTTTCCCTTGGGCGAGGGCCAATGGGCCATGGTATTGTTTCCCCCAGGCAAGGGCCTCACTAAAGGATGCCACAAATATGTTTCAAAAAGGGACATTCATTCATTCATAGAAAATAGCATTTCAAAATTATCATCGTGTATCAATTTTCAAAACATATTTCAAACATATCTTTACAAGGATATGTTCGAAATATGGATATTTCAAAATGGTGGGTTAGATCGATACTAGGCCCCGGGCGTCCACCTACACAAATATACATTGAAGCACTTCAAAACGAGTAACCTATTTTTATTATTCTCTTATGTGTGTTTCTAGCTTATTGCATGATTAAGGATGTTCAAATGAGGCTTAAGAATGCCTAAATGGGCATGAGGATGCAATTATGTAGTTACAAGTGTTAGTCAAAAATTGCTGAAATAGGGCCTTCACTCGAGCGCACACTTGGTTGCTTGAGCCGTCTGTAAAGACTGCAAAAGTACTGTGTTAGCTGTATATTATTATAGATGTATCTTATCTATTTGTATTGTATCTCTCTCTATCTCTATCTCCTTCTAGTCTTATCTCGATCTTTTTCTGTACCTATCTAGGTTTCCTTTCTGCCTATATATATAGGCTTCTTCTATTGTATTATTCATTCAACTCAATATAGAGTTTCTCTTTTCTCTTCTCTCTCTACTTTCATAACATGGTATCAGAGCCTAGGTTCTCTTCTAGCCTCAATTTTTTTTTTCTTTTCTGGTTCTGTCCTTGATTGGTTTTTGCTGGC